TCTTCTGTCTGTGCTTTGGAAGCTTTTATAATTTGTTTTGCCTTTTTTTTTTGCATTTTTCTCACCATATCATGTCTCAGTAACAGCCACTAAATATGCATTCTCAGTTGCCATTATTGCTACAAGTTTATGGATCTTGTTCCCTAAACTGCAAGCATTTGTAGCCATGATTCTAAGCTTATCATTTTTAAACACACTTGCTACAGGCACTTTCTGTCCTTGTTTTGGGGTTGCAATTGTATTGATGTTTTATCGCGCCTGTTACCTCTTCTCCCCAGCGGCAACCTAGCCCACCAAGGGGAGATGATAAGCCCCACACCTGTTCACAATATTTGTCCTTAGATAGACAAGAACATCCAATTCCCCTTCCTGCTTTGCTTGCTAAACAATAATAAAAATGTGTCTGCTATCAGTAGCTCCAGGACGATATTTCATAGAGCCACTATTATCCAACTCCTAGAACAATTGCTTTCTATCAGTCCTCATCTTGTCCTTTTTGTCATTGGCTGCAGTCTTGCACACCTTTCCACATAGAACATAGAGGTTGGTGGTTTCTCAAAATCTGTGCCTGAACCTGTCTACATACCACCACTACACTCTGGAAGTGCTGAAAATGAATTATGTAGAGACACAGACTGTGCAATATGCCTTTTAGCCACAACTCTAAGTCTACCAGATTCTACAGTAATCCATTCTTAGCCATTTCTAGGAAGCATCAACATTTCAAGCCTGAGTTTGTTTAACAGATAATTTACCAATCTCAGACTTTAAAATTACAATCTCCTGCTGCAATATAGAAAACTATCTACAGATTAGACAGCATCCAAACCTCCAAAAAGTGAATGTGAAACAAATGCATAACAACTATTACACTGAACTAAGCCTGACATTGTATTGAGATGAAGAATTTAAATGACAATATTGTACTTTTTATCATCTCCTGTATACCTCAAACTACCTCAATGATATCTCCAGAATATCTCCAAGAACACTTAGTAGCAGCAGCCAAGCTAAATTAGCCAAGCTAATTTCTACAATCCTTATATAACTACTTAAAGCACCACACCCTAGGAATGTTTAACACCTGAGTGGGCCAATGCTTGTTAATATACAATAGCTTATTAACAAACAATCAATAGCAATTAGCAAATACCTAACAAATCAAAGCAAATACCTTACCAATTACCAACAGGAAATCAAACACACCACATTGTTGTTTCACTAGAGACATCCGTTGGTAGGAGAGGAATACAACATGCCATAATGGGAACACTTGCAATTCTATCAGAAATTAACTGTATCCAACACAGTGGGGGAGTGTGTGGAACACATGAATGGTAAGAGGAACATGGCATGATTATTATTATGATCTCCCTCGTGCTGGCTTACCATTTCTTTCAGCAAGTGGACTCATTAGTTTTAGTTTAGTGAAGAGTTAGAAAAGCTGAACATTTTCTTGCTTAGTTATCTCTCTCCTTGTCTCTTCTGTTTTGTGTTCCTTTGGGCAGCCTATTCTTCAAGAGGTGTTGGCTTATGACATCTATCTATCGATCTATCTATGTGCCTATCATTCCAGCACCATTCACTGCAAGGTCAAGCAGAAATGTTCTGTTTTCACATGGCAAGCTCTGGAGAAACAGAGGAATCATAGTTCCCTCTGTTCACCCGAGCAGTTCCATGTTGTCAGCTCAGCACACACTCAGATACACAAAGCGAGCATAAAAAGTAGAAAGAAGTGTGGTAATAAGAACCACACACGTACTCATTGCACTTAAGGACCACAGGCAAGATATATCAATCTAGAGGGCCATACACAGACCACGGATCATATTACGCCTGTTAGTTTATATAAGATTTGCCTATGCATTGTATGTTGGATTTGATCACAGTCTACAAATTATACTTACCTATTGAACATTAAAATAGGTTTACTCACAAATAGTAATAATAAGACTAATAAATCCATGACAACCACTGCAGTGTAATAGTCCATCTCAATAAATATCCTTGCAACTTTAATGAACAGTAGCTTTGAGGTTGTTACCTTTTTCTCTGTGAAGTGAGCACCTTTTTAATTATTTATTTATGTATTTATTTATTGTACAACACTCTCTTTTAACTTTTGCTTCTGTCTTCAGTTGTGTATCAATATGAACAAGTATAAGGATTTTTAAAAGGATTTTCTTTTAAAGACTCCACTACATTACCTCTCCTAATGCAAACATTGCATGATAGATTATCAGTTTTACATTTGTATTTACTATCAATGTTTTAAAGAATAAGTCATTTGCTATATAACATTTTAAATGCATGTTTTTGTATGAGTTGCATAGAAAAGACACAGACACATTACAAAGGTATATCCTTTAATATACTTTATTATGTGCACTGATAACATGCACATTTAATAATACTTTCTTAAAATAATTCCTGAACTCTTCTGAAGGAACCAACTCTAGGAGTGACAGCCCCCCACTCAGTATATCTTCTGTACTCTCCGGGTCTAAGGTAATACTGGCGTCCTCTATAGTTGGGCTGTTCATAGAAGATCCAGTGCCCTTCCAGCACATTGCAGGAGTGGATGTCATGGTAATTGAACTCTTCATGGACTTGTGGGCAATCTTCAGTGAATTCCATCATCTGACCTCTAAAGTCTTCCCTCTCATAGATCCTGACCCTGAATGATCCACGATGCTGAAAAGTACCAAGACCATGTAAGAAAAGTTTATAACAATTGTTGATATAAGTATGTAATTGTCATTAAGGTATCTAACAGGTGTTATTATATTAGCTGTAAGATACTTTAACAGTGCCACATGTAACATAGAAAACATTTAGATCAAGCAGACGTAGACAGTGAGTAGCCTTGTAAATGCTCTAAAAAAATATTATTTTATCTTTTATCTTTATTATTTGGTCTTAAGTTCACAGCTCCCATCATAGACAATATCTTTAAATTGTAAGTATTCATTTTCTATGTATTCTAAGCAAAGCAGCCAATGAAATAATATTATGATTTTGATAAACATCTATTATTTTACAGAACCATGTATGTTATGTCTATTCCATGGTTCTTGTTGATTAGATTTTCAGTGACATATGTACACATATTCTACAGCAATATGAAGATTATTACCTGAGGGATGGCACGGCAAGACCTGATGGAATCATTAAAACCCATCCATTGCTGGAAATCAGGGTACTCTCCCCTCCTCAAGAAGTACTGGTGCCCAGTATAGTTAGGGCGCTCATAGAGCATCCAGTTTCCATTCTCAACCCTTATGGAGTTGCACCGGTTGAAGAATGAATGGAGGTCGGAACAATCTGAGCTGCACTCATAGGAGCGGCCTTGGAAGTTCCTGTCCTCGTAAAAGATAATCTGAAATTTTAAAAAGAATATGTATAACTAATATTGCATATAGATAGATACATAGATAGATAGAGAGATAGATAGATAGATAGATAGATAGACTGAATCACAACAAAAATAGAACATTATAAATACTTGTACAATAGCATACAGGGTCACTTTTTACCCAGAAGAAGTCTTTACTGTAGCACAAAAGCAATGTAGATGACTAGATGACTTTGTTAATGTGCCTTTGCGGTACCTGCAGTTTATAAAATGGACAGCACCTATTTTGGAGAAATTTACCACACATATGATACAGTAGTACAGTAGAATTCTACATGAATCCATAAAGCTCCAGAAAATAAACAAATTATGGGATTCCTTGCACATTGTATCTTTTTGTCCTAGTGGTGCTACTCCATGTATGTAGACCTATATAAAACTGGACTAGATGAACCTGTCTTAATCATGATGTGTTACAGTAGTTTTAAGCGATGTCAAGTCAGTCCATAATTCCAATTTATATATTGTAGCAGTTTTACAGGTTGTGGGACTAATATACTCCATTGATCAAGCAAATAAAGAACACATTATACCTATAATTATGTTTAAAATATCCAAACTATATTCTTCCCTAATTTAAAATCTATATGTTGATCAATTTGTGAGTTAGCGACTTAGAATTCATATCACACCTGCATGTCTCATAGCTGTAAACGTATATCCCACAGTGATGTAAATAAAGATGATTTAGTTGGTAAATGATGGCAATAATAATCACAATAATTGCAGCCCTTTAAGGGATGCTATGCACTGTATTTTACTTTAGTGTTTTTTACTGTGTGAATATTATCTTGCCATTGTAAACATTAAGGTGCAGAAAAAAGAGAACTATGTACATTTTATGAGAAAATATTTTAGAATCTGGAAGAGGAGTAAGTAAAAAGTTATACAGACTTATATATCTTTATATCTTCTATACCAGTGATATTTATATCTTCTATATCAGATTTTTATTACCTATTCTGCTTTTTTTTTTTTTTAAGTGTAGGCACTAATTTAAGTTATTGCAGAGGGTAACCAATCACTTGGGTATAACAGAAAATAGTTGAGTGGAAACTTGTTCGGAAAATGTAATATACCTCAAGCATTCTAAGGCAGGTTAGACTTTTTCGTCCAACATTTACAGGTTCAGCTGAGAACCATAGTGTTAAGTAGAGATCTAAAATTTCCATGAAGCATTTTCAGACATTTAATTTACAAACTGTGCACACGTTTAGAAAATATTATTAGAGTGTGTTCTAGTACTAATCTGTGCTTGATCTAATATTGGTTTTATATTTTTATTAGATGGAAATTATACCTTAACCCCTGAAAAATGCTGTGCGTGGACTGTCATGGGACTTGTTGTACAAGTGTTAAAGTTCATATTGCCTTTGGTAAATTACAAAAACAACTTACAAACTATTGTATGTGCAAAACATGTTCCAATTATGAATTAAACACATTATACAATATATTATGAAATTAAATATTTAGCTTTTTAAGTGCTGCACTGATAACTCTACAATTTAATGAGATAACATAATTTAACCAAAAATAAAGATAGCGCAGTTTAACAATAAAAAAAGTTTTTTTTACTTAGAATGCAATATCATGCATGCTTCCCTAGAAAGGAATCTTAAATTAATCTTTATAAATAATAATAATACTAAAATCTCCAAAAGTTTAATCTCTACTAGTTTTCTGTATATGCTTTCATGGATATTTTTATGTATATGCGTTCATTAATGTTTTAAAAAATATAAACTATGCTGAATAAAAGCAAGTAAGATGCAACAAAAAGCACTTTTTGTCATCAGATTTTGGTCTATTAGAAGATGAACTATTTTTCCTACCTTTCCCATTTTGCCTGGAGTATCTCTGGTGGGGCCTCGATGCTGTGGAATGATAAACACAGCCTTCCTTATATACGATGTCCATTGCTGGATCTGCAGTACTTACACAATAGAACTCTTTTGCTTAGTACAAAGAATGTATAGTATGCCTCTTTTCATTCTATATTGAAGCCGAGAATGTTCAGTCTTTGTACACCTCTCTCGTCAGCTTTTGATTATCGTTCCACTATGTTTAACTGCTGGTGTCAGTAAGTAAATATTCAGCACTATTACTAGCACATGTCAGTCCATCTCGTTCTTCTCAAATATTATGGGACATGAGATATGATTGAAATTCATTCCTGTTTTTTGAATTTTTATAAAAATATTTTTATAGCTTTTTATTTGTAGTGTTATGCTTGCCATTGATTTACAAATAGCCAACAGGATAATCTGTTCTTTATAACTTGTAATTTAAAGCTATGAATGTATACGATCAATAATTAAAATAGTATAACATTTACAACAATATTATAACATCATGCCAGAATACAATAAATGACTTTATCATTTAAGAAGCTCTTCAAATATGTCAGTAAATTAATAAACTATTTTATGTAATATACATGGAAATGCATAGTATCATAAAATTACCAAATACTTATTATTATTTTTTTTTTCCTTTTGGAAAGTGACAAAGTGAGGGGGGAAAAAATCTGAGTATTATAGTGAATCAATTATCCACAATTCATGTGGATAATATTGTGATTTTCAGACAGGTACATAAATGTAATCTATATATTGTGCAAGCACAGTAAACACTAAATGTACCTAACATTACATAAAAGTTGAAATAAAGAAAGGAAATGAGTGAATGGCGCTTACACAGTAAAAAAATAAACAGTGTGAACACAGTTGTGGAGTGAGAAAGGTGTCCCCCAACACCCTAAGCTCAAATAGTAAAATAAAGGTACTTGAGGACAACAAGTGCCACATACACACACCACTACCTGTGTACTAACGGTACCAATAAAAAATGGCCAAAAACAGTAAAGAATTCCTTTACATGTGCAGATGTATGCAGATAATATTCCATGTAATAGATTCCTACAACAACACAAAAGAACAATACATAGTATAGACTGTATATGCAAATAAATGAGTATAAAAGTAATTGAATACACTCACGAATTCCAGAGCCGTGCCAGGCTCTGTATATAATGCCCAAGGGTGCTTCAAAAGGCTATGTAGAGGATCTTGAATGGTGTCCCCAAAGACTCAGGAAAAAGCAGCAATGATGGTATTAAAAATAAACAAATTTATTAAAATAAATGTTAAAAAATAAACTGTGCAGGTCCCTATGGTGACACACAAGCTCACAAGCTTTTAGTTTTGGTTGTACTTATTTGTAAGATGTATGAAGACATACACTAGGATGAATCATAAAGCCAGGAGCAATAAAAAAAATGCTAATTGACTTGCAATGTATCTAGTCCAGTGCAAAGATAGAATTGTATTATCACCTTTTTTATATCATGTCAGAGTTGCACAACAGGCACATTTTGATTAAACTGTGGTTTCTCCAAGTTATGTAATATATTACAATTAATGGTAAGGCACAAGTACATTTCCACATAATATGTTTAAGCTGTGATTCATTATATTCTTAATTTAATGTAAAGTAATATTAATACACTTGTTTCAAACGAACCGGAGTTATCTGAATTTTGGCCGAGCAATCAAATAAGAAAATAGACGATCATGTTTGTTTGTATCGTGATTCGGAGATCCATCCATGGTGCCAAAAAATGTGTTGATTCATGGAAAAAAAGTTAGATGGTTAAAGGACAACCATTGCATGTTGATATTCACAGATCAAGTTAGAAGTGACCAAAAGAGGGGGGAAAGGAGGAGCAGTAAAAAATAAATATATTTATAAAATATATATTTAATAAATATATAAATATACTTTTTTTTACTACTCTCTGTTGGTTACTTTTTCACACTTGATTTATGAAACCAATAAATGCAAAAATGTACCTATCAGTGTATTATAATTATATAAAAATAAATATATATATATATATATATATATATATATATATATATATATATATATATATATATATAAAGTAATGTTAGCACTCCAAAAACTTAGCTTCTGCCACAGAAGATCAACGTTTCAGTTCTCTAAGGAACATTCGTCAGGATACAGTGCAATACAAACAACAGTGTTAAATAACCCACAAGTGCATTAACATAATCAATAAACTGTATACAGGCTGTACTCACAATTAACCCCTGATCTGGTTGCAGCTGCTGCTGCTAAAAAAAAATAAAAAATAAAAAAATAAGGGAATGGCCAGACCTCTAGTAAAAAAACAGTGGAGTGGAAGGGAATGGAGCTGGGCTCTGAATAAAATGGACGGCAGGGTAAAAGGTGCCAAACTAATGGGAACAGAGGCTAAGGTTATGAACCTCACTATGGATAAAGCTAGGCATAGTAAATATGGCAGAATACTAGTAAAAAGTCCTAATTGCACTGCTCAGCTGGACCAACCTAGAGGTGTATACAGGACTAATGGCAATCATATAAGCAAAAATATGTTCACATGAATATACACACATAAAGCCTATTGTGAGAGTATACAATCAATGATTGAATGAATGGCAAAGGATAAATACATAAATGAATGAATGTACAAAATTATACCACATGGGGCAGGTATTGAAGCTATGCGTAAGTTACTATCTTCCCCTCCATACTACATGGGCCCACCTATAGACTACACTATGGAACTACTGCACCTGGTTCTCAGCCTGAATTATTTAAGATTTTAAAAAACCTGGTACCAACAAATCTTGGGGACATCGATGGGGGCAGCCATGGCCCCTATGTACGCGAACGGCTACATGTATATCTTTGAGCAGGAGAACATCTTAACTCCCTTCCAAACCAACATTGCTTTTTACAGACGATACATCGATGACATCATCATGAATTGGAATGGCACGCCTGACTCTACCACACACATGCTAGAGACCATCAATAACCTTGATACCCCGGTACGTCTCACCATGACAACAGATACCCAAACTGTTCACTTTTTAGACATACGTCTCTACAAAGAGGATAACACCATAGCTTACACTCTCTTCAGTAAGCCAACCAACAGGAACACCATCCTGCATGCAACTAGTCACCATCTAAGACACCTTATCAACTCGCTGCCCCATTCTCAGTTCCTAAGGGTGATACCGAACAACTCCAATATCAATAATACCCACATCCAGCTACAACAAATGTGGGATAAGTTCAAATCAGGGGGTTATAGCAACAAGATTCTACAAGCGGCTCTTGACAAGTGTTATGTAACGTCCACAACAGAACTTCCAAAAGAAAAGAGACTAGTCTTCCCATCCACGTACACCACCATGTCACATCACCTTAAGAAATCACTAGACCACAATTGGAGAATTATGAGAAACGATTTAATTCAATCATCCATTACCATCCATGAAATTTTTGGCTATCGACTACATACCCTTATCAATACGTGGCGGTGACCGCAAAAAACTTCTACTACAGAAAGAACTTTACTGGATAAGAACCCTTGACACTGTACACCCCAAAGGACTTAACAAAAAATATTCTCTGGGAATATTACTATTATTTTTTTTTTATTGATTGATTTTTTTTATTATTGAGACCAGTATTTTTACAATATACTGTGCCTTAACCCCTTCAGGACTGGACTGTTTTTGCGATGTTGTACATTTGCGACCAGGCATCTTTTTACACTTTTGTGGTGTTTGTGTTTAACTGTAATTTTCTGCTCTCTCATTTACTGTTCCCATACAAATTATATATTATTTTTTTCAGGACAAAAGGGGCTTTCTTTACATACCATTATTTATATAATCTCATGTGATTTAATTTTTAAAAAAATGAAAAAATATTATGACAAATTGAAAAAAACATTTTTTTTAACTTTTACGTGAAAAATATTTTACTCATCTACAAAAGCGAATGAAAAAAATTGCTAAATAGATTAAAAATTTTGTCCTGAGTTTAAAAATACCAAGTGTTTACGTGCTTTTTTGCTATTTTTTTGCATGTTATAGGGCTATAAGTACAAGTAGGATATTGCAGTTTCAAAACATAAATTTTTAAAATTTATCAATAGTGACATTGTAACACTATTATCTGTCATAAATCTCAGAATAACACCCCACATGTACATATTTTTTTTAAAGTAGACAACCCAGGGTATTCAATATGGCGTATGTCCAGACTTTTTTAGTAGCCACTTAGTCGCAAACACTGGCAAAAGTTAGCATTCATATTTGTTTGTGTGTTAAAAAAGTAAAAATCTAAATTGAACGCTAATTTGGCCAGTGTTTGTGACTAAGTGGTTACTAAAAAAGACTGGACATACCCCATTTGCAATACCTTGGGCTGTCTTCTTTTGCAAATGGTATGCCATCATGGGGGTAATTCTCATTCCTGGGCTTCCATACGCTCTCAAAGGCAACGTAACCAACCTGGCCATTTTCAATGTAAAAATATTTGACCCATATATTTAACCCTGTAACTTTCAAAAAATGCTATAAAACCTGTACATGAGGGGTACTGTTATACTCAGGAGACTTTGCTGAACACAAATATTAGTGTTTCAAAACTAGAAAACGTATCACAACAATTATATCATCAGTAAAAGTGCTGTTTGTGTGTGAAAAATAAAAAAAAGTCACTTTCACTGACAATATCATCGCTGTGATATGTTTTACTGTTTTGAATCACTAATATTTGTGTTCAGCGAAGTCTCCCGAGTAAAACAGTACCCCCCATGTACAGGTTTTAGGGTGTCGTAGAACGTTACAGGGTAAAATACAGTGCTAGCAAATTAAATTCTCTGATTGCAATCAATAAAATTACTTAATTATATAAAAATATTACATAAATACGCATGTTGAATTTAAATATACCAGCATATTTATATATTTGAAGTCTACGTGTATATTTATATAATTATTTATGTAATTTTGTATATGGACATGTGTATATTTCGTATTATTTTTATTTATTTATATATTACTAGATATATATACAATTTCATTCTAAGTGTATTTTGATATAAATATATATATTTTAATATCAAAATACAGTTAGAATAAAATTTCATATAGATATATAATTTTTGTAAAATTTTTATTATTTGTAAATTTTTTGATTTAATTTAAATTACTTATTATTTGTATTTTATAATGATATATATATATACAATATATATAGTTATTATATATATTATATATACGTGTGTAATTTAATTATAAGTGTATTTTTACATTAATATATGTACATATTAATATAAAAATACACTTAGTATGACATTATATATATGATATATAGACATATATTATATAGATATAATAAATGTCTATATATCATATTTATATGCACATATATAATTTTTTTTTAAATCAACATTAACTTTTATTTTATTTTTTTATTTTACACCTGCAGGCAGACACATGGACACCTATTGTGACCATGTGATCAATGTGTTGAGCGATCACATGGCCCCGGGGGTCCTAATCTGCCATGGGGAGACTGTCTGGGCTGCAGGCAGTCTCCTCACACCGGGAGCAACGCCGATCGCCGCCGGGGGAATGACGGCGATCGGGTAAGTACATAAGACCGTTAGGACGGTTCAGGACCATCACCGGTCGCAATGCAAAAATGCCGATGACGGTCCTGAACCGTCCTCGGTCCTTAAGGGGTTAATCATTTACTTTATGACATAATATATGCATTGTTGATCTGGCAGTATGTACTGGAGTGTATTATTCACTTACTGTACTCAGGCCTTGATCATATAGTGCAGTGATGGCGAACCTTTTTGAGCCTGAGTGCCCAAACCGCAATACATGCCAACTTTTTTTCTCCTTAAAGTGCCAACACGGCAAATAAACCCAAATACTGAGGTTTAAGTTTACTTAAATAACTTTTGTTTTAAAAGAACACAGAGAGTTCAATGATACAAATTTTAAATAATGATATAAATAGATAAAATTAAGCTTATATTTATTAGTATCTCCAACAAATGCAATACATACACACACAGACAGCTGAATACATACACACAGTCTGCTGAATACACACACACAAGACTGCTGAATACAGAGACTGATGAATACACACAGACAGACTGCTGAGTACACACACACACACAGACTGCTGAGTACACACACACACACTGCTGAGTACACACACACACACACAGACTGCTGAGTACACACACACAGACTGCTGAGTACACACACACAGACTGCTGAGTACACGCACACACACACACACACACAGACTGCTGAATACACGCACACACAGACTGCTGAATACACGCACACACACACAGACTGCTGAATACACGCACCACACACACACTGCTGAATACACGCACACAAACACACACACTGCTGAATACACACATACTGCATTGAGGTGGGGGTTGCTGTGTGTGGGGGGGTGCTTGTGTGGGGGGGTGCGTGTGTGAGTGTTGTATGTGAGGGGTGCTGTGTGTATGTGTGGGGTGCTGTGTGTGTGTGTGTGGGGTGCTGTGTGTGTGTGTGGTGCTGTGTGTGTAAGTGGGTGCTGGGCGGGGGGTAGGGGGTACCGCTGGGGGGTAGGGGTACTGTGTTTAGTAGGGTACTGTGTGTGTAAAAGTAGTACTGCTGGGAGGGTAGGGGCTACTCTGGGGGTAAGGGTACTGCTGGGGGGGTAGGGGTACTGCTGGTGGGATAGGGGTACTGCTGGTGGGATAGGGCTACTTCTGGGGGGATAGGGGTACTGCTGGGAGGGATAGGGGTGCTGCTGGGGAGGGTAGGGGTGCTGGGGGGTAGGGCTACTTCTGGGGGGGTAAGGGTGCTGTGTGTCAGTATACCCCCCTCCTCCTTCTTACCTTTAATGAAGTGGGGGGGGGGGGACACAGCCATCCCTGGTGGTCCGGTGGTGGTAAGCACTGCAGGGGGAGGGATCTGTGATGCAGCTCCCCTGTCCTCCTGCGCAATGCTGTGTGGAGCGTTGCCATGGTAACGCGCGGCAACGCTCCACACAGCATCGCGCGGGAGGACAGGGGAGCTGCTTGCTAGAGCCCTCCCCCTGCCTCCCGACCCGGAAGCAGAGTAGGCGCCTGCCGTTTCGGGCAGGCAGGCGCCTACTCTGCATTGATGGTGAACCTGTGGCCGCGTGCCCACAGAAAGGGCCCGGCGTGCCACCTGTGGCACGCGTGCCATAGGTTCACCATCACTGATATAGTGTATCCCCTCAGCATTACTTTTGTTACTTTTGTAAAATATTTGTCTACAGTTTTTGCATTTTTTGTTGCTGCATTTAGTCTACATGGAATTAATGCCAAACTTTATTCTGTTCCATGTTAATAGCATCTACCAGTCAAGCTAGCAATGTCTTTTCTATGTGCTTGTTTTTTTCTGTACATTTTGTACATTAATTCATTTATGTATTTATCCTTTGCCATTCAATCAATTATTGATTGTATACTCTCACAATAGGCTTTATGTGTGTATATTCATGTGAACATATTTTTGCTTATATATGTCATATATGCCATTAGTCCTGTATACACCTCTAGGTTGGTCCAGCTGAGCAGTGTAATTAGGACTTTTTACTAGTATTCTGCCATATTTACTATGCCTAGCTTTATCCATAGTGAGGTCCATAACCTTAGCCTCTGTTCCCATTAGTTTGGCACCTTTTACCCTGCCGTCCATTTTATTCAGAGCCCAGCTCCATTCCCTTCCACTCCACTGTTTTTTACTAGAGGTCTGGCCATCCCCCTTTTTGCAGCAGCAGCAGCAGCAACAGCAGCTGCAACCAGACCAGGGGTTAATTGTGAGTACAGCCAGTTTATTGATTATGTTAATGCACTTGTGGGTTATTTAACCCCTTAACGCTGTTACAGCGTTCTATGCCATCCCGCATTAAAAGGGCTTTAAAGCCGTTGTGGCGGCATAGAACACCGTAACGGCTTGCAGCCCCTGGAGGTCCGGTGGACTTACCTCCGCCACGATCCTCTTCTGGAGGGCTCCCTGACAGCCAAGGCAGCCCTCCCCCAGAAAATGAGGCCCCCCGGGGGTCATGTGATCGCTCTCAAAGAGTGATCACATGGCCCCCTATAGCTGGCTGTGGATCTGCCAGCAGGGGGACTGTCTGAAATGTCAGACAGTCCCCCTGCTGGTGGGAAAGTAAAAAAAAAATGAATTAAACATGTGTAAAATTAAAATAAATTTTTTTTTATATATATATGTATATCTATTATATATATAATATATATATATATACAAGTAAAGTCATACAAAGTGTATTTTATTATTAATATAAGTACATATATTAGTATTAAAATACACTTAGAACGACGTTATATATATAATATGTATATATATTATATATATAATAGATATATACACATATATTATATATATATATATATATATATATATATATACGTATAATTACAATAATAAATAAATAAAATAATAAAATAAAT